CTCTCTCTCTCTTTCTCTCCCTCCCTCTTTCACTTACCATGGTTTACAACGCACGTTATAAAGGGAGAAATCCCCCAAAGCACAAAGAATATCGGACTAATTAACCAAGTATCAATAACTTCTAGCCTTCCGCCGCATAAACATCAACAAAAACCTAAAGATAACGACAAGATAGATGGTCTGGTGAGTATCTAATAAGCGCACGAAATATTCATTCTGACGCCTTTGGGCGAAAAGGCTCCAAACGAGGTCCTGTCAGCTCTACTTAGGAAATTGGGCGCGGCAGGGATTAGACGCCACAAACAAGACTGTGGCATATATTGGGATTGATTTTTTTTCCGTTCATAAAGGCAAAACAATTAATCCGGGTTAATAACTTAGAATAAAACTCACGAGACTGGGATATAAAACATTTGGAGGGTGCACACAAACTCAAGAAGATGCATTCAAAATATATATCTACCCAGAGAGAGAGAGAGAGAGAGAGAGAGAGAGAGAGAGAGTGTGTGTGTGTGTGTGTGTGTGTGTGTGTGTGTGTGTGTGTGTGTGTGTGTGTGAGTGTGTGTGTGTGCGCGCGCGCGTGCGTGTGTGTGTGTAAGGGAAAACAAGAAGAAAGACAGAAATACAATCTCACAATCTACGGAAGACAATTCCTCTTTTGTACAGAATCAATTTAATCATCTACGTTTTTAGCATCACAAACGTTCCCATTATTTCGCTATTTAAAATAAATTATTTCCATAAAATATATGCAACACGTACAGAACTGAGTGGAAATGAATTGAACGATCGAAGCAATAAATAGTTTGATAAATAAATTATAAGTTGGATTGGCTAGGGTTTGGTTTATGACCTTACATTGAACATTCCCCACCATTTCCACAGCAGCGGCTCTCGTGGTCTACAGGTTAAGGTGTTTGCCTCTCATTCAATAGGTCCCGAGTTCGAACCCGGATAGCGACGGAATATTTTGTCCTTTAAATTTTTCTCCTTTCACATCCTTTCCTGCTTTATAACAATGATCTGACGTCTGCTTTTGCTTTCGTCTCCACTTTCTGCCACCACTCCCTCACCTCTTTTGCCCCCTCCTCTGGGTTCCTGACTCTTTCTGCAGCCTTTCTAATGCTACTCCTTGGCTCCTTCTTACTGCTGTCTTTCAGCCACACCCCTGAATCTTACGGTAGGAAAGATTTAAACCTAGCCTTCTCGGATAAGGGAAAACAAATCTCGGGAGGTCCTGTGTGCAAGTTGCGTACGTTAAAGACCCATTGGTGGTCCAAAATCGATAAGAGTAGGCTTCGGCCGGGCAAAATTCAAAATGTCCTACCAACTTAAACTGTTTAATGTGTCCTGTGGGCTCATAATATGGCCATATGCAGTAGCGAGCGCTGTAAGTAAAACAAAAAAAAATTCCCACTGCATTTTGAAAAACGACAAGTTTTCATATATAAAGGAAAGAAAGAAAGAATTTTAAAAAACAACAACGGAAAATCCATTTCACACTGAAAGTGAATCTGAAGACTTGAGCCTTGTTTCAAAGTAGACTGAGACAATGAAAACAACAAAAGAATACACACTTCTAAAAAAGTTTAGCAAACGTTCTTGAAG